TACTCAGTCTGATAAAACCCTTCCCCAGCAGCTACCGGAGCTATTAGGATAACTACCGCATCTCAGGTGGCGCAAGGTAATAACGTCTCTTGGCAACAGCCACCACACCCAGAACCAAATCAATCCGAAACTCCACCTGTCTCTCAATAGGCACACCCGGTAAGTCCTCGGGAAAAAGTGTGAGAACTCGCACAGTATCGGACCCTCGGAGATAGAACTCGGCCTCTCTGTAGCAACACGTGTATCCATCATGTACTCCAAAAAGCCCATACAACCCTATTGTAGACTTTATCTCACCCTAGCAGTAGAGCAGAAAGCTGATCCAGGTCTGGTACCCTTTCCATACACCATAAGCACTCCTCCACTAAGGTCTCGTATGGTCACCATCTAACGCTCACAGTCGATCATAGCTCCAAACTGACTCAACCAATCCATGCCCACTGTGACACAGACATCACCTATCGCTATCGGTACTAGGCTTATCGGGAACTCAACTCCAAAAATCTCTAGTACACATCCCCGGAATACATCAGTGGCAAAAACCGCATGCTCTTCAGCTATAGAAACTCTCAGAGATCGACTCAACGCCTCACGTCTGATACTGATGTGACTACTAAAAGCTAGAGGTGCAAACGATCGACTCGCACCTGAGTCAAATAACACCACATCAAGTACAGAAGTCACAAGAAAGTACATATACACAGCACAATATAAGCATAGACAAATCTCAAAATAATATAAATAAGGAAATATGTACCAGCCACAACATCAGGTGTTGTGGGGGACCTCCTCCACTGTTAGCTTAAAATCTCCCCCACGAGCCCTCGGTGTCTCGACCTTTGTTGGAAGACTATTGGTAGCACGTAAAGAAGTAGGTGCAGAACCCTAAATTGATCCTTGAATGAGCTGAGGGCACTCAGGCCTTTTGATGGCCTGTCTAGTTGCAGTGAAAGAAAACTACAAACCCCTTAGGGCAATCCTCTCTGTGCCTATCTTTGCTAAATTTGTAGCAAATCCATACCTAACATGATCCCCCGTGACTCTTTTCTCACTTGCCACAAGTGCTACCCTTCTGCCCCTAGCTCTCGTATTAGTGAACTTAGCCAACTTCATCGCCAGCTGCAACGGCACTTGTTTCTAGTCTCTATCCCTAGACTCCTCCTCCTCTGTGGTCTGCAATTCTAGCTCAGTATCCCTCGTCCTGACATTGGTCTAAAGCTCTAATAATGTCATGTACGACGAGTTCGCCATGAACTCTTGTATATCCCTCCTCAGTATGCTCGGATATCAACTCACGCGTGCCTACACAATAGACATGTGCTTAGGAAAAACAATGCCCTCTAATGGAACATCCTCGTGATCTCAGTCGTAGTTTATGTCTTCTATTTGAGAGATAGAGACTCTTGGGCTGACCGTTCCCTCTCCACCGGGGGAACATACTCGTCTCGGAATAGCTATGTAAATCCCTCCCATGTCACTCCAGCATGATCTGTAAGAGTAAAGTTGGCTGTCAAGAACATCCACCAGTCCTCGGCTCCCAAGCAAACCTGGTTCAGTGCAAACCAAACTCTTAGGTACTTGGGGATTGAACATCTGTAAAAACACCCCTCAATGTTGCAGATCCATCTCATAGCAGCAATCAGATCCCGTGTCCCATCAAACTATGGTGGCTTTGTTTTACTGAACTCCCGTAGCTACAACGAGTCACCTCCTTCTGGCCTTGCCGCGACAATATCTATGGTGGCTATAGATGCAGCAGTAACCTCAGTAACAACAATATACCGCTCGTCAAATGTCACAATTGATGTGGTCTTAATAGAACTACACATCTCCGATATCGCCTCTCGAATGGCTACGTCCACCTCCTCCGTAGTGATCCTGTGGATCTCCTCATCACTGGTCCCACTGCTCCCGGTGTTTTGGCGTGTACCCACCATGATGTCTCTGAAACACAATATGAAAATAAACATAGACTAGCTCGAGTATACTCACAATCAATTACCCATCCCTACACACTCCTTAGCATCCTAAGGATTCTTACTTGGGTTGCATACACATCCGGTGCTTTCAGTAGTACGGGTACAATACTACCTTCCACACCAACTTGTAGTCACCCCCATGTCCTCCTCCTAGGATTCCAATTCACAAGTACTCTATCTCTCACGAATATCTTACAACTCTCTTAGTAGACTCCTCATATACGCATCAAGAAATATCTCCTAGATTTTCCATCGTCTGAAACAATCTAAGAGAATCCTGTTAGATACTCCTACTTAGCACCTACTCAGGGCAAATATAAGACATCAACAACTATTAGGAGAAGGCATCAAAAATCAGGAAACTCTAGCCCTAAAGTAAGAAATACCTAGCCTATCCTCTAGCATGCATCCCTAACATCTCATAAATATCTCCTAACACAATTCGGGCTCTGGCTGATTGTACACAATGCTCCAACTTGTTTTTCTCTTAAAACCCTTACTCGTTTTTAGAAAAATCAATTCTTTTGAATATTTGTTCTCAAATCCTCAATTTGAGTCTAGACATACTCGAGAGTACATCTGAATCCGTCAAACCAATGCTCTGATACCAACTAGTACCACCGTAAATTTTCATACAAAATTTTCATTTTCAAATCTTATAAATATCATCAACACATTTCATAAAATCCCCAAAATGTCAAATTATCAAAACACATGTCCATAATTGTTTTAAGTAAAAATCCAGGATCCTCAGAACATAACTCCATCTCATGTGTACCATCAAACCAACGCCTTCCCATGATCATGAGAAGTACCTGAAACACATAACACATAACACGGTAAGTACGAAGCTTGATGAGTTAGATAAATACCACACATAACTCATTAGCCTCTCATGGTTATATCTCAAATAAGACCCTCCAGTCAATGTGTTTTAGTGGAACCCTCCGGTCCCACAACTCGGGTGGACCCTCCGGTCCTAACTCAGTAAAGCTCCAAATGATACCCAACATAAATCACAAAGACATAATGCATGACATCAAAATACTCAATAAATCATACAAGACCAATTACCACTCAAGGTAAGTATAGTGAGAAGACTCACCTCGTAAGTAAGTGAAGAAATCGTGTATCCCTTGAACGGTCTAATCCATGCCTACATGTCATAAGCATCTCTAAATAACACTTAAATCACAATTCTAAATAAACCAATCTATTTCTCTCTCTCTCTCTCTCTATATATATATATATATATATATATACACCTCCTGGGATGGGTAAAAGTCTATTTTACCCCTTCATGGTCCTCATAATCCCTAAGTCAAAAGATGTCAACACTCGAGTCAACAGTCCATTTTGACCCAACTCGTGGAGTGTATCTATGTGACTCATCGAGTCCCTCGTTCCTTCAGTAATGTTACAAAAATCCAGCTTACCTCATCGAGTTGTCTCATCAACTCGCCAAGTTACTCATGTCCAGAATCATGGGGGAAAACCCTAGCCGACTCGTTGTGTCAGCTCACCGAATCGGCGAGTCCTTTCATTCTATGTTCTCATTCAGACGTTCTAAGGCAGAATTACAACCCCAAACTCTAGAATTAGCCCCTGAAGGCTGAGATACCATGTAAAGCTACAAGCTTTACATCCATGTACGTCACTTAGGGCTTGAAATGCCAAAAACAAGTTCCATTTAGGATCCTAAGCATAAAAACTCTTCTATAGCTTGATAATGCTTGGGCCTTTGGACTTAAGGGACCTCAGAAGGTCCAGATCTAAAGTCTTAATCTCTTGGCAAGCTCAAAATACTCAAAGTCTCGAGGAAAGATGGTAAAAGCCCTAAAAACTTCCTAGTAACTAGATCTAATCAAAATGATGAGCAAGGTGGTGACTTTTACCTTCGACAAAAGCTAAAGATGGATAAACATTGACTCCAACAGTCCTTTCTTGTTCCAAGCCTTGATAATGTTCTATTATCTTCCAAAAGTGCACTAAAATGCCCAAAGTTAGCTCTTATTTCTCTCTCAATTCAATCTAAACGATTAGGGTTTCACACATTGGATTAAGGTGACATGTGAGGTGGAAATAAGGGCTTAAGGTCCTTTAAATTGGACACAACCTTAGAAAATTATGTTTTCCTCTCACAGCGCCAACTCGTCGAGTTGGTCCCGCCAACTCGTTGAGTTGGTCGTAAAACCCATGTGGCCAAATTTGTCTCTACTCGATGAGTTGGGGCCTCTAACTCATCGAGTTGCTCAATCAAAATCATGAAAATTATAAAAATATAATACATGGGAGTTGGGATGTTACACAGTCAACTTTAAAACCTAATTTTTTTTACCGATGTCTACTGTTTTGACCACGTTTATAGAGGAGGAGATGTGAGCACTTGTAGATGGGCAGTCGGAAGTGACATTAGGATTTTCGTTGAGATCGATTAGGTTGGGAGTGGGGATGATTTCTTCGGTTTGTGTCTAATGGTGTAGTGAGGATATGTGGTGTGTGGTATTTGACTCATAGACACTCGCCATCAGGGGGATTATGTTTAATGGAATTAATGGTCCGGACTTTTCAAATTGTTTTATTTTACCTAAAGATTTATTAGCTGCTTGGGATAATTGGGCCGGATTTCTGGGGAGTCCATCACAACTAAATGATGGGAAGGCCCAAAACATCCTTGGGGTAGCCCATTGAGTGTAATTATATGATTCGGGGTGGTAAGAAATAGTGCGGTTGATTGGTCACCACCTGGTGATATCGATTCTGGGGAGACGGAATGTTACCATTACCAATTATTGACGTAGATTTTCAACGAGGCGATTTATTTGCCTCTAACTCCATGGGGATTTCCAACAAACCTTTCACTTTCCCGGGCAACTTTTGCACTCCCTTCACCGTTATCAGCATCTTCTCCGACGACTCTATGAATGTATTGTTTGCTGGTTCATCGTGCATTTCTGGCGATGTCCCTTCTTTCTACACCGATTCCATGGCAATCATGTTATGTTTAACCCAATTAACTTCTTAGTGAATTTCTCTTTCCTCCCTTTCCTGTTCCTCGTGTTCCATCCATGTATTGGATATCCCTTCCTCCTCCTCCTCATCCTTTTCCGCATCATCTTCTTCTTCTTCATTACTTTGGATATCCTTTCTCGTAGTAGTCATCACAGGGGTCGAACTTGAACGAAAACCAATCCTTGTCGATTCGATCATGCCCGGCTTAATCAACTCCCCTTCAAAGGCCACATGTATCTCATCATTAATCATCTTCTCTCTATCGGTAAGTATGCTAATCTTTTCACATGAGAGATCAACCCGGTATGGTATATCATGGAATGGTGCAATAGTGACCCCATATCCATTTGTAATTGTTGCGAAATGTTTTTCCCCCAGAGATGTATGTGTAGCCCGACGATCCTTATCTACGAAACCATCTAAAATCTGGGTTGCATCTAATCTCCCCATTCTACCCATTTCATATACTCCTTCCATATATTATTGTTTTCCTTAAACTTCCTGGCAGTAATCAAGTCAATGAAAAGTAGTAGTACTTTAAGGCCACCTATGTATTTGACCTCTATGCAGGCATCATCCTCGATGAGTAGCAATTTTGGTTGGTGTCCTAGATGTGTGAGTGATATTGCCTCACCAATGAGTGAAGTTTTTCAAAGCCATCTATGTGTGCTCTGTTCCTTGTGCATGACAATAGGCGAAGGTCCTGGCAGGGGTGGTAGTGGTGATGGGTGGATAGGCAGTGGATTAGCGTTTTTGGTCTGGTAATCATAACCCATGACTTCTGCAAATGTTATTTGGTTCCTGAATCCTTCCTTGTGCAATGACACTTTCGGGGTGGTAGTGCTTCTATGTTTCCATGTAGGGTTGTTATGATTCTTTTTCTTGCCTATACCTGGTGGATCTTTACTTCCATACATTGCCAAATTCACCTCTAATATTCATCCTCGAAGGATCGTGCCATCAAGTTTTCACTCCAGTTCTTTAATATTTTGTACCCTAGTGAATCTGATGAAGACATTGTATTATCCATTTTTTCCGATGTTTAATCGCATGAACACATCACTTAGTCTCCCAAAACCAATAACGCCTATCTGATCTCTCCTTTCGTGGTCTCCTTTGGTACATTGGATAAGAAATACATGGTGATCTCATTGAGTTCTTTTGCCGATGATCTACGTCGTCTTCAGACTTCTTCCCAGACAACCTCTCTCTCTATTTTGCATATATCATATATAATTGAACTAAAACATAAGAAGTTGTAATCATGTTTCCAACAAGTTAAATTACATATTTAAAAAATTGGTTTGTTAGTTAAATTATAATAAAATCAACAAATGGTGTATCAATTTTTTTAGAAACTTGGAGATTAACGATTGGTTGAGCTCAAGTCATGTTTCCACTTTCAAAATTTCTATTCGAGATGAGCTTAGGATTTGTAGCATCCTTTATTTTTAATGGATAACAATAATATTCTATTCATTTTAATCTAAACCTATAACATATTTTAATTTTAATATGTAAACAACAACATACTTTTATTTTTAATTAAAAACAACATAATTTTCACTGAAAATTTGTGGCAAAAACATCAAAATGTAAAAGTTTTTATTGCAAAGATGAAAAGTATCAAAGTCGCTAAAGATTTGTGGCAAAACCCTAAAGGCATAAAAACTTAATCAAAACACAAAAATTTAAAAAGTTTAACTTTAAAGATAAAAAATATTAAATGCACCAAAGATTAAAGGCGAAAACCTAGCGCTACAGAACATACTATTCCTAAGATCCTTTAAATTATATATATATATATATATATATATATATATATATATATATATATATATATATATATAAAATAGTTTATAACCCATGGGAACTACGGTTACAATTATTAATAAATTATTAATTAAGAGATTTTTTGATTATATAAATTTTAATCATTGATTTAAATAAATATATAAAAGTATATCATTTTATAATTTGTATTAAGCTTATTTTTTTTTTTTTTTAATGTTGTTAATTTAATGCAATTATAGTGAGAAATATAAAAATTTGAAATTTGAAATAAAGAACCAATACGTTTACAAATGATATGCATTAATTAGTAGATATAATAGAATGATACATGATAAAAGAAGAATAAAATATGTTAAAGAATAGCTAAGTTTAGTGAATCATATATATCATCCAATCAACTCATTTGTGTATTTTTTTGGAATTGAATTCGAGACATTAGATTTAACCATTCGAAAATGATATGCAAAGGAAAAGTAGCATACGCCGGTTTTTCTGCACAAATTATTGGTCAACGGCTGAAATATGCAATGTCAAAAAAAGTTAGTAAATTTAATTGTACATATAATTTGTGATAGGTACGCTAGTTTGGTTTTTAGACTTTTAGTGCACAAATCACTAGTTAACGACAGAAGCATGCAAAGTCAAATTTTTGTCAAAATCTAAATGTTTAAACAACTTGATAGAGGTACATTAGTCTGAATAATGTTGAAAAACATCAATGCATTCAACGATGGGTCTATGTCTCATCTTAATTAGAGCACCAACTATGTTAGATATTTTCCACGTCCACGTCAATGAGTTTTATTTGACTGTCTTAAAGGATTTATGTAGAATTGTACTTCTAACCGTAGTCTTTATATCATTAGTGGGTAAACATTTTCCGATTACTAACGTCGTCTAACTTTAAAATTTTATATCTTTACTTACATTTTTGTAACGCTAACTGATAGTACCAGTTAGTCAAATATTTGATCAAATATATATCTAATAGTAATAGATGAAATTTACGGTAACAATTTTTACATAGCTACATCCGTAGCAATTTTTCCATAGCAAATTCTCAAGCAATTTTTCCGTAGCCTAGAAATTTTTTCATATCAAATTCGGTTTCAATTGTGCTGTACCATTACTCCATAAATTTGGTTATTTAATTTGACTAATTATATTAATTTTTAAAAATACAATTAATATAAAATAGCAAGTAACATAGTATTTCTATAGAAACTAAGAGAAATATCCACATTAAATATACATATTTCAAAATAAAAAATCGCTACAAATTAAATATATAAATTTATTCGATACATATTATTCTATCATTAATTAACAAATATTTTGAAATGTTCACTCAAAGTATTAATTACATGCATTAATTGTGCAAGTTGTTCATACTACTTGAAGATCCTCATTTTTTTGTTGAAATTTCATATTCTTTTATTGAGAATGCTTATATTTTTGCCGAATATCGTCATATTATTCGTGGTCTAAACTACCTTCTTTAACTTTTCAATCTCGATTTTTGTCTCAACACACTCTTTAATGGCATTATTCATCGATAAATAATATATTTCAGAATAGCCGTTATTAGAACGTATGCTCTAGACATATGAACCAAATCCATATATGATAAAACTAATTGAAAGTGCATTGCTATTTTATACATTCAGGCTTAGTCATTTTAAAAATGAAAAAGGAACTAGAATGTTATGATGTTGATTTCTACGATACATAACTAAATGAAATTAGAAATTAGATTGTTATTTTTTAGGCATGGTCTTCTTCAAATTCAAAATGGAACTAACAAGCTATAATAACAAATTGGGAAAATGACTTAGTAATTAAATTTTAGGTATCTTCACATCTAGGTAGCTATTTTTTTTTGTACGCATCTAGGTAACAAACTTGTTGAAAATGTTCATATATACCCATTATGACTTGCTATAGCATGTTAAATTCTAGATATTAACATTTTCAACAAGTTCGTTACCTAAATGTATATAAAAAAAATAGTTACACTAACAAAACCAAAAGTAAAAATAAATTATGCAAATGGTCCTTATGGTTTGAGAGAATTTATATTTTTTGTCCCTAACTTATTTTTTTAACTCGGATGGTTCCACTGTTTATATTTGTTACGCGTTTTGTCGCTGTCTTACCTAAAAAGACTATTGTGCCTTTATTAATTTATTTTTTAATTAATTTTATTATTTATGTATTTATTTTTTTATATATTTAAAATAATTAATAGACTCTATATATTTGTATCTCATCACCATACATCTCAAACCACATTTGAGAAATTTAATTCGGATGGTTCCTACTGCTAATTTTTGTTGCGCGTTTTGTCCATGTCTTACCTAAAAAGACTATTGTGCCCTTATTAATATATTTTTTAATTAATTTTCTTATTTATGTATTTATTTTTTTTATATATTTAAAAAAATTAATAAATCCCACATATCTGTATCTCCTCACCGTAAACCTGAAACTGTATCTGAGAAATTTAATTTGGGTCTTAAGGATCACCATCTCATCTGTCATCCACCCCAACTTGTTGGAAGCGTTCACATCTAGGTAGCTATTTTTTTTTGTACGCATCTAGGTAACAAACTTGTTGGAAGTATTCACATATACCCATTATTACTTGCTATAACATGTTAAATTCTAGATATTAACATTTTCAACAAATTCGTTACCTAAATGTATAAAAAAAATAGTTACACGAATATGAACAAAAAGAAAAGTAAAAATAAATTACACAAATGGTCCTTATGGTTTGGGAGAATTTGTATTTTTGGTCCCTAACATATTTTTTTAACTCGGATGGTTCCACTGTTTATTTTTGTTACGCGTTTTGTCCCTGTCTTACCTAAAAAGACTATTGTGCCCTTATTAATTTATTTTTTAATTAATTTTATTATTTATGTATTTATGTTTTATATATATTTAAAATAATTAATAGACTCCACATATTTGTATCTCCTCACCATACACCTCAAACCACATTTGAGAAATTTAATTCGGATTGTCCCTACTGCAAATTTTTGTTCCGTGTTTTGTCCATGTCTTACCTAAAAAGACTATTGTGCCCTTATTAATATATTTTTTAATTAATTTTCTTATTTATGTATTTATTTTTTATATATTTAAAAAAATTAATACATCCCACATATCAGTATCTCCTCACCGTAAACCTGAAACCGCATTTGAGAAATTTAATTTGGGTCTTACCGATCACCATCTCATCTCTCATCCACCCCAACTTATATTTATTTTCCATCTTTAGGAACATCGACGTCTTCACCATCCTTCTTTTTTTGGTACTTCAACTCTGGCGAACCAACACCACAACCTACTGTCTCTTCATCTTTAGTGGGTGATGATATTGATTCGACAAAATTGAAGGTCCAAAAAAAGAATTGATGATGAAGATGTCGATATCAATAAAGATGGAAAATAAAAAGAAGTTGACGAGGATGAGAGATGAGATGGTGATGAAATATATATATATATATATATATATATATATATATATATATATATATATAGATATGTGGGGTCTACTAATTTTTTATTAAATATATAAAGAATAAACAAATAAATAAGGAAATTAGTTTAAAAAAATAAATTAATAAAGGCACAATAGTTTTTTTTAG